TGAACATCAGCAGGAGAGGACTCTTTAAAGTAGAGACACTACATACTGATATACACCTGAACATCAGCAGGAGAGGACTCTTTAAAGTAGAGACACTACATACTGATATACACCTGAACATCAGCAGGAGAGGACTCTTTAAAGTAGAGACACTACATACTGATATACACCTGAACATCAGCAGGAGAGGACTCTTTAAAGTAGAGACACTACAGAATAGGGCCCCTTTAATATGTTTTTGACCAGTGTGATCATAAGTTTTCTAAATTTTTTCCATTTCTTCTGTTTGAATATAAAACATTTTACATTTCCCAGCTCCCTCTGCTCCAGTTCTGACGGCTCACCCCTCTCACCCTTTGGACCCTGGAGCTCCACCCCCCATGCACCCTGTCTATCAGCAGCACATGCACCCAATGTTTCAATACCAGCCGTACCCACACATGCACCCTCACATGCACGCTCACATGCACCCTCACATGCACCCACACATGCAGCCTCCCCCAGAACAACAAGTGCCACCAGTACAACCAGAAGCAGAAGCAGAGCAGCAGAAACCAGCAGCTGAGGCTCCGCCTGCAGAGACTGAAGCTCCCGCTGAGCCGGAGACTCAGAGTCCAGCTGCTGAACAAAGTGAGGAGAGACCAATTCATCACAACTCAGACTCACTTTACTCATGTTTATTCATCAGTAATGAGTCAAATAACTTGACAAAAGAACTCATTTTGACTGCTGCAATTGCGATCGAGATATGAAAAGGGATTGAGCATTTTCCTCCTTCTCAAAGATGTATTTAAATTGATCATGGTGTGAAGAGCATCCGTACCAAACAAAATACATGTTTCCAAATCCGTTGAAGTCAATTTCTAGGCCGGGACTTCTACGCAGCTCCATAATACTTAATATTTAGACTTGCACTATAGTCAATATTAGGACTTCAATTACATTCAAATTAATTGTGCAGCTCTAATTTTTATCCAGTAGATTTTAACATGACATGGAGTTCATCTTATATTCATTCTGTGTGAGAAATGATGGCACACTTGCAAACATGTTGGCCCTCAAAGACATAAAAGCTTCTATTTCTCATTTAGAAATGAGCTTGATCACTATACAAATGTCCCCTAGTTTATTTCTTACATCATGACAGATATATTTTGTATTTCAAGTGTGTTGTTTTGTTAGATGTTATGTTCAAATATGCAAATAAGGTGTAATCTAATAATAACACATATCAAGAAAGCCAAATTCTCTGAAAATATTGACCATTGCATAAAACATTTGCCTTTAGTGTGTTGCTTTAAGAAAAACCTAAAGGTGCACCTTGCAAAAACATGTTATCAGAATATTCCAGGTGAGGCTGTGCACAGAACTGAAGAAACAGACTTATTGCACGGATGGATTTATCCTAAAGACTTTGACAAACTTAAAAATCCAGATCAACATTAGTATTTGAATTTCCACTGCTGCCTTTGTCTGAACGTCATAACTATGATTATCTTACGCTTCTGGATATAGCTGAACGGTTGAGATATAAGATTTAAAATGTTACCTAACTGAACTGTAAATATAACTTTTAACTATTACATTTCATGCCTAAACTCTTCTCTCCTAAAGAACCAGTGACAGTCGAGGACGAAGTGAAAGCCCCCTCGACCAAGAAAGGTACAAACTGTTTCATTTGAAGTTAAACTTGTCTCTCAACAGAAGCTGTGAATAATAATGACTCTGTGATATGTTGCAGCTGCACAGAAGAAAACAAAGGCTGCAGATTCAGAAAAAGGTACGTACTTTCCTCCATGAAAGCCTCATGCCTCAGGATTCACAGTGAATACCTGCAGCTGCGTGATGTCACAGCGATCTGTAAGAAAGCTTTCACTATACGGAACATTAACTCAACGCGGCCGCTTGCCTCCAATTATCCCCTCAGAGGCAGCAGCAGCCGCGCAGACGACAAAGACAGGTAATTCATGTTTTCAGATCACTAACTCAACAACGTGCGCTTCACTCGCTACAAATGATACACACTCTACAAGCTGCAGCTCTCTGTAAACATACAAACATAATTACACACTTCATTTAGATGTGGATAACAAACACAACATATCCAATTCTAGATGCTTCCAAAGAGAAAACCAAAGCTGGTGCTGCAAAGAAAGGTAAAATAAACATGAACTAAATGTGGTTTTCTTAAGGAATATTCAATTTAATGCAAAATACACTGCATACAATAATTGCTTTTGTTGCAGAGACACTAGCAAAGAAAGAGAAGACGACAAGTCCTGCAGCGGCTAAGAAAGGTAATGAATATTTTGGTGGATAATGAAGTTTCTATCTGGCGTCTGAACGGTTAATATTGTGTTATTTTATATTTAAAATCAGTTGCATTTGTTTCTACAGAGCCAGCTGCAGAGAAAAGCAAAATGGCTGCTGCTGTAAAGAAAGGTAAGTGATCATTTTGGTAGAATTTAACATTTCTAATTAAACAAGATCCTTAGAAAATGTACAATATTAAAGTTTGAACATAGCTTTAAGATTGTATTTTTGGTTACAGAGCCAGCTGTGAAGGAGAAGACTAAAAGTCCTGCAGCGGCTAAGAAAGGTAAAATACATTTTAGTTGAATGCAAACTATTTAACACACGTAACACACATTCGATATTGAAGATTGTTAATTCTCATAATGTGAAAATTAGCATTCATTTAAAGAGGACATGTCTCCATGCTTTAATGTTCAAAAAGCTCTTTATTGTTCTCATACTGCCTGTGCTGCAACACCTCTTTTCCCCCTCTGTCTGAAACCAGAGCCCAGTCTGCTCTGATTGGTTAGCTGGCCGGCTCTGTTGTGATTGGTTAACCTGATTAGAGATGCCACGCCCCTTAGCCTATCACGTACAATGTGTTGGAGCGCTAGCCAATAGGAGCTTGAGTGTTCCATAGTGATGTCATTATGTTCCGGAAGCTTTACCATTTAAATTATGATGTGCTTTGAATTTAATTTTTTTAATTGTTTTAAAAGCAGTTTTTATAATAGTTTTTTTTTATATATATATATATTTTTTGTACACATTAATCCTCTACTGCATTTATATATGCAACATTATAAACCAACCAAATGGTAACCAGATTGTGATTCATATTTCATTTAGTATCTTTTGACCTTCTTTCTACAGAGCCAGCTGTAAAAGAGAAAACCAAAGCAGCGGCTAAGAAAGGTAAAACATCATTAGTCCAGAGTGTTGAAATATTAAAATCAATTAAAAACTAATCCTCCTCATCCTTAATGAGAACGAGCCGCTGATATTTCAGTTTGAAATTAAAAGATTCAGGCCAATAATCTCAACTCTTTCCTCATTAAACCAGAGCCTGCAGCTGCAAGACAGAAGAGGAAACCAGCCTCTGAGAAGACTGGTACACACACACACACACACACACACACACACACACACACACACACACACACACACACACTGTTTTTT